AAAACAAAACCAAAAAAACACCAAGATGGACCCCTCTTAACAAACAACATATACACACTTTGGTCCTAGAGCCAGCATTATTTACTAATGGGCAAACATTAGAGGCATTTTCCACAAAATCAGATCGAAGACTAGGATGTATATCAATATTGCACTGGAAGTAAAAGCCAATGCAATTAGATAAGAGAAATCAAATGGAAGGATAAGAATTAGTAAAGAAGGAAAACTATTTCTATAAGCAGATGATATGATAAACCCTAGAGAATCACTGATAAAACTAATTCAAATAATAAAAATAATTGAATAATGTAAGAAGACATAAAATTAACATATGGTTCTATAGATTTCATATACAGAAACAGTAATTAGATATTATAACAATGGAGAAAAACCCCATTTATAACAGCATTAAGAAGCTGAAATACTTTGGAATAAACTTAGCAAGAAATGAGCAAAACTTTTTATGAGGAAAACTTTAAAATGCTCCTGAATCACCAAAAAAACTGGACTAGAAAAAAAAATGATTAATCATCCTTTTGCTCTTAAATAGAACAACTCAAGATGATAAAGATATTCTCTTTAATTTATAAATTTGATTAAAATCCCAATAAAAACACCAACAAGCTTTTTTTAATCAACCTAGACAAATTAATACTAAAGTTTTTATGAAAAAATAAACAGTTCATATGTAAAGAATAGCCAAACATTGGGGGGGTAACGCTGAAAGGAAAAGGGGAGACTACTCCTGCCCAACATTAAAAATACTATAAAGTCTCTGTAATTGTAGGTATGGTACTAATGCATAAATGGATAAGCAGGTCAGCAGAAGAGATACAAAGAGAAGCAAAAGACCCAATGATAAAAGAAATGAAAATTAAAACAACACTAAAATACCATTTCTCATCCATGAGATTGGCAAATATTTCAAAATACAACAACACCTTCTGTTGGTGATGCTATGGGGAAACAGGACTATCATAAATTACTAACAGGAATTTGGCAATTTCTAACAAAGCTACAAACATATGTACCTTTTGACCCAGCAATCTTACTTTTAGGAGTTTCCTCTGAAAGTACACCTCCAATAGTAAAATATACTCACACATGAGGTTATTCATGGCAGCTTTTCAGTAACTGCAAAATATTGGCTGTATCTTTAATGTCCATACCTAGGAGAATGGCTGAACAAACTGTGATACATCCACATAATGGAGTACTAAGCAGCTATTAAAAAAAGATCTCTGTAAATTGATATGGAGTAGTTTCCAAGATATATTTATAAACAAAAAAAGCAAAGTGCAAAAGAATATCTAGAGTATGCCATAGATACAACTACTTCTCTGTTTTAAAAGAAACACAGGAAGGTCAAACCACTAACTAATAATTCTGGCTACCTAAAGGGTGGGTAGACACAGGATAGAAGTGAGAAGGGGAGTGATACTTCCCTGAGTACACCTTTTAGTATAATAGTATCTTGTAGAACCACATTAATGTTTCACATACTATTTTATTTATTCACATACTATTTATTTTAAATAGAAAGAGAAAGAAGAAGAAAATCAAAAAGTGTAGGGGGATAAAAAACTTGAAGTATAAAAAGAAACAAACCTAACGTACCTAACTCTTTCAAAATGAAGAAACTAAACTAACCATACTGAAAGGATGGGTGGGAGTTGGGGTGCAGACCTAGATGCTCTCAGGATAAAGATAAAAAGAGCTATAAAAAAATATCGAATTCTAAATTGTAAGTTTGTTTTTCACAGTGGTATGCATTAGCAATTCTGATTGCTAATACATAGCAATTCTGATTGCTAATACATACTTTCTACTTTCTACATATTCTATAATTAAGCAAATAAGTAAATATACTGTGAATAATAGGTTTCTCACTGTTGGAGAAGGAAGTGATAAGATACATGTCACAACTTGAACACATCAAGAAGAGCATTAAAAAATGTATTAAAAAGCATAATCACCCAATTGAATCTATAACTTATCCACGGAAGCTGCTGTAAACTTCAAACACTTGATTTCCCATCTCCTGCCATCCCCCAGAACACGCTTCATCTTTAAATTATTATTTGTACATCTAACAAGAAAGTTTACTGAAAATATTTGACTTTACAAGACAGAAATCACTCTTTCCTACTGAAAAGCACAGAGATCATTAACACACCTTCAGATTTAAAATCATACAGTACTTTTTCTTTGAAAAACTACTTTCACCTTCTTTATCTAAATTAACACCTTGATTAAACTGTTCAAGAAATGAGTCAACTTTCTTGTTAAATCAAGATTAACCTAGAAAGTCTTTTAGTTTAACCACTTTGAAGAATAAATTTCTAAAATATATTTTCCAAAGTAATATAATGTATAGCACATGAATAATGTAATTCTTCAAAATTTGAAACTTTTCAGTGTCTCCAGATTATTTAGTTATTAAAGTTAAATGCAGGAGGTTGAGAAGCTGCTGTTTTGAATAAACCTCTAAACTTGTTTCCTCATATACAAAAGGTGTTATCCTACATGACAGCCTGACAGAGTTACAAAGCTCAATTACAAAATGCATGTGTGCTGGATTATCTATTATTGACTAGATATCACTGCCTCTCCTTTTAAGGTCTTCCTTGCATGACAAAGAAAAAGAAAGTAACTACATCTCCACATTCCCCTCTGGAAGAAGCTGTAGGGAAACACTTGGGCAGAGAAGCAGCTTCCAAGTGAGTAGTTTCTTCAGAATCACCCACTTTGGTGCTACCAACTTAGAGAGTTCTTAAGATTTTCACTGACTTCTGAGAAAACAACTTCCATGCTTCAGGCTGAAATAATCAATGACAGCTTCCCTAACCTTCATTCCCTGAGTCTTTCCAAAAATTAGTCTAAGCCTTTAATTCCCTGTGTTAAAACCCTCATACTTTGGTTTTCAGAACCAAACCCTGATTGACTAATACATGTGAAAATACTCTATAAACTGAAAAAGAACATATAAAAGCATAATATTAGTATTTCTATTCCCACTGATAGGAAATTTTAATTGAAGTTACTTTCTGGTAATCAGTATCTTTTTAGACAAATGAATACATCCAAAATTAAGCTTCCCTCTACAAATCAATAAAATAAAACTTTTCCTTGTTATAAAAATCAGCTCTCTACCTAACTTCATTTCTACAAGTAACCACTCACTGAATCAACACATGTTTAATAAGCAAGGCATTATGGTAGTTACCAAGAGATTCCCATACAAAAGTTTACAATATCTGAGAATAACAAAAATAAAATATTCATAATATAACTGTTACAAATCAGGAACCACATGCAATGCATCAGCAAATGGATGGATTAAATTTGACTTGGGGAAGAAAAAGTAAAAATCAAAAATGGATTTAAGGAAGAGGAGAATTAAAAGTTAAATAGAACTTGAAAGTAAAGGGTAGGAAGAATTCTCAAAGTAGAGATGATGGCAAGAAACTGAAAGAAAGAACATGCTAAAAGAAACAAAGCTTGCAACTCTGGGGCATGTATGGACAACAAAGGTATGTAAGACAGAGTGGTTTATACATGGAATGTGTAAAAAGGAGAGGAGACTGATGCCAAATAATACAAGGCCAGAAAAGCTAAACATTTAGACTTCACTGCTATTATCCAACTTCAGACTCAGAGAGAGAACATTTTGTGCCTACATGACAAAAATCAGGCTGCTAACCTGCCTCCTCAATTAGGGCCTAAGAGTATGCAGAACTAGAGAAAAGAAACCAATCTTCCTAAAATTCTGTTTGTATCCTTTTTTATCCTAACACTCTCCTGTTCAAAAAACCCTCAATAATTTCTGAATGCACTCAAGTTCCCCAATACTGTAGTCCCCATCCTATTAAACTGTATTTTCTGCCATTGTTCAAAATGGACATCTTTCTCCAAATAAACTATTCTCTGTATCGACCCCTGAGCAAGGCTGGAAAATGCAAGTGGAGTGACACTGTGAATTAGTCTGCCCAGGATGCCATAAGAAACACCATACATTGGATAGCTTAAACAACAGAAATTTATTTTCTCATAGTTTAGAGGCTAGAAGTATAAGATCAAAGTGCCAGTCAATTTGGTTCCTGGTGAAGACTCTCTTTCTGTCTTATAGATGGCCTTTCCTCTTAGCACACAGAGAGAAGGATCTCTCTCTTCCTCTTCTGATAAGGGCACCAGCTCTATCAGATTAGGACCCCAACATTATAACTTCATTTAACCTTAATTACTCCCATTTGCCCAATCTCCAAATACAGCCACAATGGGAGTCGGAGCTTCAACATATGAATTTTGAGAGGGACGCAAATACTCACTCCATAATGCACCATGTTATTTCTGAGGCTAGACCTAAAGAGATTTTTCAGCTTCTGCTCTTACCCTCTTGAAATACTCCCACCATCATACAAAAAAGCTCAGCCTGGCTTACTGGAGAATAAGAAGCCACATACACCTCAGCCAACAGCCTGCATCAAATACCAGATATATGAGTGGGGCCACATTGGACAATCCAGTTCCAATCCAGCTGTCAGATGACTACAGTTCCATGAGTAACCCCAGGTGAGGTAAGCAGAATTGCCAACTGAGCTCAGTCTAAATTGTATAATTGTGAGAAAATAAATGATTGTTGTTTTACATTACTAAATTTGGGAATAGTTTGTTACAAAGCAATAAATACCTGATAAGACATACCTTCTTGTTCTGCTTTTTGACCTAGACCTCTGAACTCTATAGGATTTCCCTCGACCCCTTGAACGACTTCGACTTCGTTTTCTTCTAGAGCCATAAGAAGAGCTACTGCTTGATCGATGTCTGCGTCTGAAATAAAATACAATCAAAGATAACTACTATAAAAATTCTTTGTTATGGGCTTTAAGGAGACACCTAGATCCTAAAGAATCATCTCATTTTTACTATGTTCTCACTCTTTCCCTAAAGCAAATAGAAATAAATTAAAATGTTGTTTCTCTTGAACAGTCAGATGACTGATTCATAATTTAGTGATTGGATCAGCTACTAATTAAGGCATTATGAATCTTACAATCTTTCCAAATATCATCAGATAATATGGCATCAGAACTATAGTGGTTTATATCTACTTGCCTACAAAGAATAGACAAAGGTTAAGAACACTAGACCCATGGACTGGGCCTGAAAAAGCCTCTGGGTTGGGATTTAACACTCATAAATATATGACTATTAAAAGAAAAATGTTTTATCCAGCAAAATTTAAAATATATATATATAAACTGTAAAGAATGTTACCCTCATTACTGAATAAATAAAAATTATAAAAATCACCTTCTGTCATAAGAATGTGAACGAGGCTGAAGATCTCTGGACCAAGACCTTGACTTTGATCTTGACTTCCTTCCACCTTTCTTTCGGCTGTATGTTCTACCATCTGAAGAACTGCTAGATGATGACCGTCTATGGTGTTTCTTTTTTCTCTTGCTTCTGCTTTCTTCTTCGGTATCTGATGACCGGCGTCCCATTTCTTTAAGCTTAAGTTCAAAGAAAATTATTTCTAACATAGCAGCACAATGGATGAAATTCAATATACTAATTTTTATAAAACTTTGTAAAAATTTAAAAAGCCTTATTTAAAGTAAAATTTTTAATCTTACCAGCTTCTTGACATGCAAACAGTTTTTATACCAATTTTCTGATATTTTAAGCTGCATTTATCATTAATTATATGATATTATATTTAGTAATTGACCACTTATTGCTTTGTTCTCACATTTCCTGAAGACAAAAGATATTTTACTATCTCACAGCTACATTTTTCTAACAGAAAATTCTAAATTTTAAATGGATAAGACCTCATTAGTCATCAACAAAGTACAATTGAAACAATGCACTATAATCATTTCACTTGTGAAATTTAGGGAAGAAATGTTAACTAAAGTACTAAAGTTCATAAGGGTATTGTGAAGTCAGTCAACTCTTAACACACTGCTACTACCATATAAAGTGGTAGTATGATCCTTTTAGAAAGCAATTAAGCAATTATTTAAAGAAAGAGCCATAAAAATGTTGATCCTTTTTTGACAGAGCAATCCTACTCTAGGAATGTATCTGAAAAAATTTTTAAAGAGGGACATATTCATGTAGATATTCATTATAGCATTATTACAACCGTACCCATTGAGACTATAATTTAAGAAAATATGTATATGTGAATAAGAATAAAAATAAAATTGATAATATTTAACCAATGAAATATAATTATTCATAATATAAAACATATTTTTTCATTTTTTAAACTATTTCTATATAGTTATGGTAGCATTTTTGCATTTAGCATACAAAGGGAATAAAGAGAAATAGAACCGAAGATTTTTATATTTACAAATTAATTTATATGAGGAGGAGCTTAGTTGCCCTAAAGTTAATTTTTAGATTTTCATATGTAATACTTTTTTAATTAAAATAGTTATTAGCTATCTTTCAAAGTCATATAAAAACAGGATCCATTCTATGTAAAGGTTTAGATGAGATAAATAAAAACTCATGCCTTCTTTAATATTTATTCAAAATAAGTTAAATGTCATTAGTAT